TCCTGCTGGAAAATCCAAAAATTTCAATAGAACACGTGAGCAGATGGAAGTATATGTCCCTCGAGAATATCTGTGTACCGCTCACTGTTCATATTCCCTTCAAATACACAGAGGGGCGTTGCCCCTAACACAGATATGCCACCACACACGCTAAATTTTGGACTGTACTTTGGGTGCTGATACAAAGGTTTTTCAGTAAGTTTGGTCCAGAATTTCAGTGTATTAGGAAACAGCCACACAGAACTTTCATCAGAGAAAATCACATTGTCCCAGTTAAAATTTCTATGCTGTAAGCACCAGTTCAACCTTTGCTCCTTTTGTTCAGGTTTCATGATCAGTGATGGAATTCCTCGACTTTTCTGCCAACCCATTGCATGCAGCTCAGTTGTAATTGTCTCCTTACAGACAGCCACAGTTCCTCTATCAATCATATCCAGCCTTACGTTTTCTAAACTCCTTCGTTTGTTTTTAGAAACAAGAATACCAAGCCGCCTCCTGTCACCGACAGTCAATTTTCTGGGCCTACCTGCACCTCCCTGGTGCTCAATGCCTTGCGCTTATGAAGTGCTAGTGAAGTCGATAGCCGACCAATAAACATTTGATGACGGGGCCGGCTTCGATGATGTTTATCGAATTAGCAACAGAGCATAGCGTTTCTGACCGGTGTTGATCGGATACCACATCGTATCGTTCAATACACAAATTCACTTTGTAAATGGCTTCGGAATCAATTCGGTTGTTGATCTACGGGCTGGCATGGTACGGAGGAAGTTGAAGCTGCTCGATTAGTGGCTATTCTCAGGACGCCGATTTGGTGGTCAATGTAGGGGAATGATATCTGATGGGGAGCGATTCGGTTTCAGTATCTTTGGCAGGTGAGGGTGAAGCGATGTCGATGAAGCCAGGTAGGAGTGGTTGCCTCATCAAAGAACTTCAGGTAGCCACTTCTTTCTGGGGAAGCAGTTGAGCAGATGTTTTGCTTCATGATGCCGTCAATGACTTTGGTGTATGTCTGATGTAGTTGACTGCATGGTCATTGTACACGATGAGTTAGTTTTGAGGAACAGGTTGTCATGAGGATATTAATGGGTGAATTTGGATGCGATGCTGGATGCTCAGCCCATCTCATCACCAACATCCCCATCAAATTCACCATTGAAACAGAGCAGAACAACCAACTACCTTTCCTGATGTCCTTAAAAGTCCCGCACTCCTGCAACCAACTCCAGACCTCCGTACAGAAACCAACTCATACGGATCAATACATCCACTACAACTCCAACCACCCACCTAAAGTCAAGACCGGCGTCATCTCTACATTGACCAGAAGAGCCAAAAACATCTGCTCAACAAACCTACAGGAAGAAATTGAACACCTGAGGAAAGTCTTTGTGGAACGCAAACCACTACCCACCTGAAATAGTCAACAGAGCCATCAAGCATCGCCATCTCCTCCTGCCAAAAGATCTAAACCAGAATCAGCCCCCATCAAGATATCCATTCCCTACATTGGTAAACCATCACACCAAATCAGCCTAATTCCTGAAAAATGCCATATCCATTTGCAATATTTTACAAAACACGATAAACAGTGGACAAAGGGATGATTGTTCTACTTGAAATCACTTAAGCTGATCTGATGTCCTTGTTATAATACTCTAAAATCAACTTCCTCTTCTCTAAATCATCCATACTGAGGATCACTGAAAATGTCGTCTGCTAAACAAGTAAACAAAGGGGGATAACTCTTCACAAACTAATGAAAAAGGATTAACGGAGTTGACTCTCTTGAATGAAACCAAGCACTTGATAGCTGGTCAAGGTTGTTTATACTAGAAATCCAATTAAACATATTCCTAAAATTCTCAATAATTTCTGGTCATACTATATAAGGTCAAGAAGATTTGTACTTGGGTGTGTTCAATTGTTTTGAAATAACCTGTAAATTTGAAATTCTGTAGTACCTCCCTGAAGAACACCATCACAGCAAAACATAATTTTCAAAATTAGCTTTCCTCATATGAGTCTGTTGGATAATGGACCCGTGAAGATCCGGGGTAGAATTGATCTTCAGTAACCCATGTCGTAAGATCTGACTAACGGCATTGGGTGGTCAGGCTCGCTGACTTGGTAGACACATGTCATTGTATTCTAATTGTGTAGATCGATGCTCATGCTGTTCATCAATTGATTGTAAGGTCCAGACTCGATTATTTACAGACTGCAGCCATATAGCTGGAATATTGCTGAGTGCAAAGTAAAACTTAACTCACTCACTCACTCTCTGTTGGATACTGTATGTCAGTAATGATAGTGTTGATAAGGACTCGGCAGATCACCAAACTAAGCATTTATCATAGTACTTAATACCGGTAGGTCACTTGTTATGACCAGGGGTGGTGGGGTAGCCTATGGCTAAAGCGTTCGCTCGTCACGCCAAAGGCCCAGGTTCAATTCCCGACATGGGTACAATGTGTGAACCCCATGTCTGGTGTCCCCGCTGTGATATTGCTGGAATATTCACATTCACTCACTCAAACTGTAATGGCCAACCAGGGAAGCTTGATAACCTTGGAATGGGTATTGGGGTGAAAGAAATGTCAGAATTAATAATGACCTTTTGTCTCAGTCGCATCAGGAAAAGAAAAGGACCAACTATTTTGATTTGATACCTTATGCTGATGATGTAGAAATTGCCATCTTGGAGATGTTCTGATGTGCTTGGAGATTAGAATGTACTAATATCATGTCAAGACAAGTCACTAACTGGAAGGTGGATTTAATGTGTCCTGGCAGTTTCTTGATGTGTCTTTCAGTGGCAGTGAGTACCCCTATCCTGATGCTCCCAATGGTGTGTGTAGTGGTGTTTATGTTTCAGCTTGCATGTTGTGGGCTGGACACCATGCCCTGCACAGCTTACCTTGCACAACGCTGTACAACCCGCTGGATATTGTCATGGGTGTCATGTTCATTCCAAACATATCATGTTAACTCTTTGAATGGCATTTAGCAGTGATATTCATAAAGGGGAAATTTATGGATGTCAATTTATTATGAGGAACACAGTTTCAGAGTGTACTCTTACTCCTCCATCAGGTGAGATTGACGTCCATAAATTGTCTCTTTTATCAGCTATTATAACAGTGAATATGTGTTTCCAGTGTTCCCCAAAGACAGTGCTGCATAATGTCATGTATTCACTATAATCCAGGGTATCTTTTCATTGTGTTAAGGGGTAGTCGAGTGGTTATAGCTCTCGCTCGTCACACTGAAGGGGTGGTGGGGTAGCCTAGTGGTTAAACTGACTGACTGACTGAGTTTGCTTTTACGCCGCTTTTAGCAATATTCCAGCAACATCGCGGCGGGGGACACCAGAAATGGGCTTCACATATTGTACCCATGTGGGGATTCGAACCCGGTCTTCGGCGTGACGAGACAACGCTTTAACCATTAGGCTACCCCACCGCCCCCCTAGTGGTTAAAGCTTTCACTCGTCACACTGAAGGGGTGGTGGGGTAGCCTAGTGGTTAAAGCTCTCGCTCATCAGGCAGAAGACCGGTACAATGTGTGAAGTCCATTTCTGGCGTACCCTGCGGTGATATTGCTGGAATATTGCTAAAAGCGGCCTAAAACTAAACTCACTCACTAACTCATCACACTGAACACCTGGGGTTGATTCCCCACATAGGTTCAATGTTTGGATTCCATTTCTGGTGTCTTGTGTGATATTGCTTGAATATTGCTAAAAATGACGTAAAACCATACTCACTCACTCCATTATGTTGTGATTGAAAACCCCTGGATCCATTAGATACAACTGTTTTCTCAATCTGATTCGAATGACACTGCTATGAAACGTTTCAAAGAAATTTTTCAGGAAGAAACTAGGGATAAGATGGAAGGTGTTTTCGCTTTCAAACAAAGTGAGACTTTGAATGAATGGTTTATGCACTGGCTATTTGAGGAGAGACTTTCAAATGATTCCCTATAAACATTTTGTTTCTCATCATCATCATTGATCACTTTTAATTGTTTTTAACGGTTTTGCGTATTTAATTCATGTTTCATGCATCTGGTATGTCATCTGCAGTAAGACAAATGAATAGCAGTGTGAATGATGACCTGAGGTTACTGTATTTAATGCAAACTTTTTACATATAAAATCTGCTGCAGCATAGAATAATGTTGACACAGTTTGGTTGGGATGGAGGAGCTATGTGCTAACAGCTTTCCAGGATATTAAGTTGAAGTAGTCAATCTTCCTCAATATTTTATCATGGAACCTGTTGAGAGGTACTGAATGTTGGCAGGTACTCAAGCAAAATGCAGATATCAACCATGATAGCATCACAGTTATCTGCTGGTATGAATGTTTTTCGGGAACATTGGCATTTCATATTATATGTTTGATATTTAGTTACCATGGTAATAGAGCCTTCAAATACAGACACAGTTTGCATCCTTTCTTAGTGTAGTAACCCTGGTAACCAAACCTGTATGTATTGTGTATTTAGTATATTTGTGTTGACGATTACTAGTCAAGGAAGCAGGGGTGGGATTTTCATAGAATTGACTGTATAATGTTTTAGACATTGAAACTGAAAACCAGGGTTAGTTTTTTAATATAAGGATGATACTTATGAAATCAGTTGTTTGGTTATGTTCATGTATATATATGTGGTATTTTTGTGAATATACATGCAAGTTTTGTTGAAATCAGACTTAAGAATTGAGGAATACAATTTAATAATCACATGATTCATCTATCATATTGAATGCATACATATGATTTTCATATTCATTGCCTTATTGTATTAATTCATATTTCATCATATTAATCATGCATAATTCAGTCATTTCATCCTCACAACAAAGCCTTTTTCTCTCCAAGCATGTGCATGCAGGTAGATATTGACACACCTCCAGCAGGTGTGCTTTGTTTACAGGTAAGACAGGTGTACAGCTGTATGGTGACAGGTGTTTCGTGGTGTTTATTGCAGTGTATAGACAATTTGTCGAACATCCAGAGCAAGGTGAAAGCAGCTACTGCGGGCAGGAAGAAGATACCTAAAGCATATGAAAGACGTGAGTTTACCATGAGTCACATGATATATGCCTACCTTTAAGGTTGACTTGAGAGTAAAATCTCATAATTGATATTTGGTTCTTTACAACCGATCAATCATCGAAAATAGTTGGTCGACATTTATCAAATTTTTCTTTTATATTTGTTAGTGCACAAAAAATAAAGAAAAAACATGTAGTTCTTTGGTGTTTTTTTTTCAAATTTCACATCTTTAAAGGATGACTAGTATGTTAGGAACATAAATTTCATGGAGTCTTTAAGATAAATTCAATCATGACTTGGAACGAGCTTGTGGTGCTTATGAAATGTAAATTTAATAACAGACAAAACCAACCTTTTGAAAAATATTGTTGATGCAAACAAGTTTTACAGAATTGTTTGTGTTCGATTATTAGAAAACATGATCAATTGCTTGGTCGTTTAGTCAGTACGACCAATCTTTGATTATATTACTTAACTGGACCACCACCACTGGAGAGAGATTGCTTGTTTTTTGTTTAGTGCCTGTCAGCTGCCTGTAAATGTTCTAGTCCTGTCAGGCAATCCAGTGATTGACACTATGAGCAATGAGTTATTCCTACATCCAAGTCACAAAGTCTGATAACTGTGAAGATCTAGGTTATAGGTGGGCGATCAGCATGTAATTTTATTGGAATTACATAAATTGTTGAACACTACTTGCTCATGCTGTTGATCATTGGATTGTCTGGTCCAGACTCGATTATTACAGACCACCCCCACATGGCTGGAATATTACTGAGTGCCACGTAAAACTAAACTCACTCACTCACTTGTCTGTACATATTGCATCCTGCTGTGTTTCAGTGCCTGACCTCCAGAACTACCTTGACCCTTCTTATACCGAGGAACTGACCACTTCCAATGACACCAAGGCTGAAATCATTCTTGCAGGTTAGACCAAGATACTTATAACAACATTGTACCCTTCTGGGTCTCTTCTCTTGTGTCAGTCTCGGCTGAAATTTCACTTGGTGGTATAATAGAGCATAAATTTTAATATTTACTTTTATCATAATGGAACCAACACATGAACATAGATCTCTGCATATTGATGATGACTTAAATGCCTGGAAGTAAATGAATGGTCCCCACAGCAGCAGTAGATGGAATATCATGTCTCAGGTCTTTTCTGTATGGTAGGACATCATGTACCCGGGTAATGTTAATTTTTTTGGGTATTGTGTTCACAGAGGAGGACTTCCTTCATCAGCAGGCGGCTCGACTGGAGAAGATGCAGAACTTGGAGGAGCTGTTTGACAGTGAACACATAAAGGGTGGGTGTCTATGAACATATAAAGGGTGGGTGTCACAAAGGATGGGTATCAGTCAATGCACAAAGGATGGGTGTCAGTCGCTGCATGAAGGATGGGTATAAAGGGTGGGTCTAACTGAATGCACAAAGGGTGGGTATCAGTAAATGCATAAATGATAGGTATAAAGGCAGTGTATGAAATACTCTAAAAATCCAGCCAGACATCTGGGCCCGTACCTTCAAAATCTTACCAGCCCAGAAGAGATTTAACCAGTCCTTCTTAAATACTAAATAGACAGTGCCAGTGGACACATTATCTGAATATATTTTTCCACCCGTCCATCACGCTGGCTAGCTGCAAAATTAGACAGTCCGGCAGAAATCTAGCCCATCTCGGGCGGTCGGACGGGCCTTATTTCATACACTGATAAAGGGTGGGTCTCACTGAATGTGCAAAGGATGGGTATCAGTCAATGCACAAAGGGTGGGTGTCAGTCGCTGCATGAAGGATGGGTATAAAGGGTGGGTCTAACTGAATGCACCAAAGGTGGGTGAAGGATGGGTATAAAGGGTGGGTCTAACTGAATGCACAAAGGATGGGTATCAGTCAATGCGCAAAGGGTGGATGTCAGTCACTGCATGAAGGATGGGTATAAAGGGTGGGTCTAACTGAATGCACAAAGGGTGGGTATCAGTAAATGCATAAATGATAGGTATAAAGGCAGTGTATGAAATACGCTAAAAACCCAGCCAGACATCTGGGCGGGTACCTTCAAAAACTTACCAACCCAGAAGAGATTTAACCAGTCCTTCTTAAATACTAAATAGACAGTGCCAGTGGACACATTATCTGAATATTTTTTTTCACCTGTCCATCGGGCTGGCTAGCTGCAAAATTAGACAGTCCGGCAGAAATCTAGCCCATCTCGGGCGGTCGGACGGGCCTTATTTCATACACTGATAAAGGGTGGGTCTCACTGAATGTGCAAAGGATGGGTGTTAGTAACTGCATTAAGGGTAGGTGTCAGTGAATACATAAGAGATGGCTCTCAGTGAATGTGTAAAGAGTGCGTGTCCCTTGTCCATCAAGGAAGATGTCATTGAGGGTAGGCATCATACTTAAGTCATAGTGCATAAATCTGTGACAGATAATGTTCCACTGATCATAAATGGTTGACCAGTGGATCATTCTTGTGATATATATAGATCAAAGATACTAAAATGTAACGTAAACACTTGTATTAACTGTTTAGTCTTTAAAATGATAATGTTAAGGCCAGACCAATTTTATTTCTTGTTTTTACGGATTTTTGTCATCAGAAAACCTAAAGGCAGGAGGGGAAAAAAAATCAAAAAAAAATCACCAGTCAAAGTAATATTCCTTTTAAATATTGAAAGTATTTTACTATTCTCAATTTATGAAGTTTATATGGGGCAAGAAACAGTCTGAAAAAGGAAATCTTGTAAGTTTACATTTTTGGCCAATAAAAACAATAGGAATTTATTTTTTGAGCGGGGAAAATTAATTTTTATTTTTATTCTTAGTCTTGAAAAAATACGACTGGCGGATCCACAAAACAAGAACTAGAATTGGTCTGGCCTTAGTATGTATTCACAAGTTCTAGTTTGGTTGAAGGGGGATAACTCTTATTATTTGACATGCAAACTCACCTTAACATTCCAGCTGCACCAAAACTGGCAGGAAAACTGCATGAACTCAGTCAAATCCAGATCAAACAACAGGTGAGTGAGTGAGTGAGTGAGTGAACGATGTTTCTGCAGTTTTGTTTTTTGATGTATCAATAAAAAATGTTAAGCTAATAATGATACTGAATGGCTCCTTTGGATTTTCCTTGGTGTGTAATTCTTGTGTTTTTGTTATTGAGGGTTATATGTTTCAAACAGACTGACGTTACCAAAATTGAGATTTAACATGTTAAAGGCTGCTCAAAGAAGGTTGTCTGAGAGATGTATTTGATTGTTGTGAATGTCATTGCAGGACCAAGCCTCCCAGTTTAATGATGAAGCCAGAGCCTGTTTAGAAGCCTACAACTCTATAGTATCCTTAAGAAACATTGCTCAAATCTTGATGTGAATCTGATTTCCTTATCGGTGGACATCCAGCTCTGGGGGGTAGCTTAGTGGTTAAAGCATCCGCTCGCCACTCTGAAGACCCGGGTTTGATTCCCCACAGGGGCACAATATGTGAAGCCCGTTTCTGGTGTCCTCTGTCGGGATATTGTTGGAATATTGCTAAAAGCTGCGTAAAACTAAAACTCAGTCAGTCAGTCAGTCAGGGGGCACGGTCCAGTGACGAATACAGTGACAGTTAGTCCTTGATCACACTTGAGGTCTTCGTTCTGGTGGAGGGATGTCATGGGTAGTCGCGTCTTCTCAGTGTGCTGACGAACTTGGCTGGAGTTGTGGTTGTCGGTTCATCACAATATCAGATATGAGTAGAATATACATACCGAGATTGATATATCCAAATCACATACACCAAATCCCTTAATCCCTGGTGGACATCCAGCTCTGGGGGGTAGCTTAGTGGTTAAAGCATCCGCTTGCCACTCTGAAGACCCGGGTTTGATTCCCCACAGGGGCACAATATGTGAAGCCCGTTTCTGGTGTCCTCTGTCGGGATATTGTTGGAATATTGCTAAAAGCTGCGTAAAACCGTACTCAGTGACCTCTAAACCCACAGGTGCATGGTATGACTGACTTGGTGTTGACATGACCTGGGAACCCATGCTTGTCATGGTTTGACATGTGATATTGAGGGGTTGTATGACATGACTGACTGTACTGTGCTCTCCACCATTCATTCCTTATGCTATCTACCACTGATGCATCTTGGCCATCTTGTCATAAACGTGAATAGTTTTAATGAACAGGGTTATCAGGCTAAATGACAGGGATGATTGCATGCCACTGTATCCCCGTAGCATGGTATTGGCGAGTGGGTGACCTGGCTTAAGCGCCAGGCTAGTGATCCAGCGAGGTTGAGGTGTCGGGATCGAGCCCAGTTGAGATTGATAACAGGATGTGCCGTTGAAATTGACATCCAATGATCGAGGGAAAAAATACCAGCGCCTTGAGCAAACACTAGTTGCCTGGATATGTGCAATATATAAATATCGTATAATAATAATTGATAACTGGTCAGTCTGGTTCAGAGTTGATTATTTACACATTGCTGGACCCGTGAACATCCGGGTTTGAATTGGTCTTCAGCTACCCATGCTTGTCACGACTAACAGGGTCGGGTGGTAAGGCTCGCTTACTTGGTTGATACATGTTGTGTCCTATTGTATAGATCGATGCTCATGCTGTTGATCACTGGATTATTTGATCCAGACTCGATATCTACAGACCGCTGCCATATAGCTGGGATATTGCTGAGTGCGGCGTTAAACAACCCACCAACACTTTGCTGGAGTATTGCTGATTAAAGAACAAAAAAAAAAGTATTCCATAGTATTTATGCAGGGATTTGTGGAGCTCACCGATGTGTTTTATTGCAAAGGTGATTTTGAGATACATGTACATGCCATTACAATATACACATAAATACAGTCTCCCAAACCCTGGATAACAGTGATTCTTGAAAAGAAAAACAAAATCATCCCTGCATCCACAAATGCTGAATTTGTTAGTATGGTGTGATCATGAATGTCCATATATGACTTGTAATACAACCAACAACTTTGGTTGGTTGCTAAAGAGGGAAAGCATCACAAATAACTGTGAACTGTAGAAAAGTTCTCACCAAACCTTGTAATCATGTCATGCAAAAGTTGATTATAAAATGAGGCCAAATTTGCTTTGACATTGTGACTGTTTACAGCTTGAGGAGTTATCTCCCTTTAAACATGGAGGCGTGCAAGTGCAATCTTTTGTTGTGCTGTGGTTGAGGCAGGAAATGTTTCTCAGCTGACTGAGATTCATTGCTCAGTAATCATGGAAAAAGCTATGGTGATTAATCCCAATAAGACTTTTTATGAAACCTTACAATTTGTGGGTGTTTTTGTTGACAGGTTTTCTGAACTACAAAGAATGATATCTTGTTAAATTCTCGTGAATGCTTGGTTCATTTCAGATGTTAAATCTTTTTCAACATGAGTGATAAAGAAATCTATTAAAGTAATCTTTCAGATCCACTTCCATGGTACCCTGTGGCAACATTTTGTATATAAATTGGTGGACAGTCACAGTGCCCACTAAGTTCGGGCCAATCAGACAGTGTATTTGACTCTACCAAGCATTCATTACATCACATGCAGTGAAAGGTAATGTGAAAAGATGGGAATGCTTTTTTTAAGGAAACAAAATACCAAAAAATGAAATGGTTCTTTGATTAGAAGGTGGTAGTTAATTTATTACATTTTCTTGGTAATATTTAGTTACATGTACATATTACATTAATTAGTCCACTAGGATTCCTTGACCATTGTCCAGGTAACATTGTTATCAAAGCAGTTTGTCCAGTGGGATGAAGTCCTGACTAAAGCAGAGATAGCTGCTCAGCCAAGGAAGGCCATGGACTGATGACAACTCAAGCAGCAACACCCTGGCTTCCTGTGCAATCTGAATAGTCTCCTAATTTATTTCTAGCCATATTGTCTTGCAGAACAATATCACTTCTTATGGGATAAGGGATTCAGGTGAATATTTTCTAAATGTTTTGCGTGGTTTGTGAAATTCGTGATCGTAAATCAGATAAGTTCCTGAAATGTATTAGTACATGTATGTGGAGGAAGTATTGTTTTGTTATTCTTGACTTCTCGTAGATCCTGTGTACATTCACCATAGTTTCACCTGAAATTGTTAATTGTTTGCTCTCATCTCTTGTATATATTGCTATGCATATAAATCATTAAATATATTGTCATGCTGATATTGTTCCTCTGATTGATGTCATATGTCTTGGGGAATTCTTGATGCCACGATCTCCACTACCCTTTGGAACCCGTGAAGATCCGGGTTAGAATTGATCATTGGATTATCTGGTCCAGATTTGATTATTTACAGACCGCTGCCATATAGCTGGACTATTGCTGAGAACAGTGTTACACAACAACTAACCAACCACTACCCATTGGGCAGATTTGGACCTGCTGAGATTAGACAAAAATAGTAGCCTGTTTGTGTTTGCAAAATTTCTTGTTTCATAAACAACAAGTCTGAATTGAGCTGTACTCGCTGATTTATTGCCATACTTGTTGGGAAGGTTCCGTTAGTTGGAAAGCTGGTAGGCATACAGACGGATTATTTCTTAGACAAAACTACCTGTGATGATTCGGGTTGGAATTGATCTGACCACTCGATCCCTAGTCACCTCTTACGACAAGCGGGGCGGTGGGGTAGCCTAGTTGTTAAAGCGTTGGCTCGTCACGCCGAAGACCCGGGTTCGAATCCCCACATGGGTACAATGTGTGAAGCCCATTTCTGGTGTCCCCCACCGTGATGTTGCTTGAATATTGCTAAAAGCGGCGTAAAACCAAAACTCAGTCAGTCAGTCAGTCTTACGACAAGCATGGGTTACCGAAGACCAATTCTAATCCAGATACTCACGGGTTCATCTTTTCATATCAACACTTGGAAATTGTACTTCCCAGAATAGTTACACACTTTTATAAGAATGGACTTTTATTTTCTTGAAATGAACTACAGGATCTTGAATTGTATCTCTCACCCCCAACTATCGGCGTCCACGATGAATCCAGGTTTACCCTCAGATTCGACGGACGGCAGGCATAGAGTCTGGAGACGACGTCGTGAACGGTATGCCCAATGTTGTGTACAGGAAGTCAACAGATTCGGGGGCGGAAGTTGCATGGTGTGGGGTGATTTCTGTGGGAACAACCGTTCCCGACTTCTGGTCATCCGTGGAAACCTCACAGCTGCTGCTTACCGCGACCAGGTGCTCACCCCTGAACTCGTTCCTTTAATGGCGGCTCATAGCCCAGGTCTACAGTTCCAGCATGATAATGCTCGGCCGCATACCGCGATGTTGACACGAAATTTCCTTCAAAACGCTGGAATCAACGTCATGGACTGGCCATCGAGGTCCCCTGACCATAATCCAATAGAGCACGTTTGGGATGCACTTGGGAGAAGGCTTCGTGGTCTTAGGAACCAACCTCAGAATTTGCAGGAACTTGGCGCTGCCTTGCAAGAGCAATGGCGCAGAATCCCCAACCACGTGTTCACAAGCATCAGGCAGTCGATGAGGAGACGGTGTTTGGCAGTGATGAATGCGCGGGGCGGCCATACACAATATTGAAGTGAGAAATTTCGCATTTTTATTCTTGTGACTTGACATTCTGTATACCCATGTTTTGGAACGGCGGTGTAGCCCAATGGAACTGATTATGGCACTGTCAGTGTATCGAGTACATCACACAGATCTCAGCAATGAAATAATAACAATTTAACCATCTTACCATCTCTTGTTCTTTTATAGTGTCCTGAAGAAAGAATGTGAAGTTTCTTTGTTGACTCAGTATATTTTTAGTTGTGCATTTTTGTATCAATATTTCGCCATGAAGTCCTTATTTCTTATAAAAGTGCAACGAACACAACTTGGAAATTGTATAATTCCACTCAGTGTAAGCAACGGATAAACCTTTATGAATGAACTGAAATAAGGTCTACATTTTATCATTTCTGGCCTCCTTTATGTTTTGAACTTGTTCTGTTCTTTGTTGACATGGCGTTGACATGGTTGATGCAAATCTAATGTTACTGGTTTCTTTATGACATAACTTATAGAATCCCATCCTCTCTAATATATTTTCTAACCCACCCACAGATGGTAGAAACATGGACTGGGGCAACCTGTGTAGTTTGGGGCAACCTAAAAACAGTTATTGTTTTTGTGCAGATAATGCGATTGTTGTGATCTTTCACACTGCCAAGCTGTGGAATGTATGATCACTTTCTGTTGAGTTTGACCTTCACTCCTAGTTTTGGTCATTTTCACTACTGTGAAGGTCAGTTTTTATAAATTTGATATGTTGTGCAATCAGTGTTACTGGCGTGTGTGTCAGTGTTAAAACAGTCAAGTTGGAAGTATCGTCTTGCATGTAATGTAGTAACTGATCTGGGTCCCACGTATCCCCCATATTTCGGCAAAGGAGGTCTTTCTTAAGGTTGTATATGGTCATCATTGCTTCTTTGATTGCTCGATTTTTACCTATAGACGCGTGAAAAGCAGATATTACTGATCTTATTATACTGATAGTGGTGTACGAGTGGTTTTCTTCAAACAATTAACTAAGGAACTGTATCAAATCAGCCAAAGCGTCTCAGCATTCCTCTAATCACACCAGCACCACTTTTTCCAGTTTCTGTTGTAAGATGTCCTACTACTGCCCCTGTCGAGATTTTGAAAGCAGCTCAGCTGTGTTTTCAGAAATTCCCGATGTGATATTTCTAAACCACAAGTTTGTCATGCCGCTAGTAATGTTTTCCATTACCAGAAGATGGATCTTGTCAGTCGGTGATATCAGTTTCGGATCTGGTGTCAACCGAATCGGGCAAGCAGTTATCATGCTCAGAATGGTGGAACACAAAGGCTCACTTTGTCAAGTCGGAGTCACAATGACTGTTGTGCTGCCCTCAAGGTGAACTTTGGTTTGGCATCTTCCTATCAGACTAGAGCATAAAAAGCATGTCCTTCCATCTCAGACTGAATGTATCTACCGTCACTGCTATAATGGTGAACCCTCTAAGGGGCGGTGGGGTAGCTTGTTGACAGGCTTTGGAAGATTTCATACAGTCCTATCTAGTCTTATCTCCATATTTGTTTCGAGAAATCGGGGCCTGGGCTGTCATGTGCAAAATCCCCTCTCGGTTCCTGACAGCATTCAAGTTTGACTCGATCACGTCCTTGCCGCAGCTGTTATTTCATCCCATAAAGCCCTCACCTACAAAACGACCCGCTTCCAGAACACATGGCCCTATGCCACATCCACCTGTTCGACTGAAGACACATGTCTTGCCTTCAGCTCCGTGTTGACCTTTGCAAGAGTTGTCTGCTGTAGTGTCGACGGCGATGTTCGGGCTGGGTGTGTTGCCCGGATGCTGTAGACGAGTTGAAGTTGTCGACGTCGTCGAACTGTTCTCTCAGATATGCCTATGTTGTATGGTACAGACTGAACTGGTTGCTGGCTCCAACATGTGTCGGTGTGGTTCCAATCTATCGGTCTTGACGTGGGGTTGTTACTGGTTTGCGGCCACTGCGGAGACGGTTTCAGACTGAAACATACCTATAGTTCTCCATCTGTCATTTTCCCCGACCCGTGGCATGTCGAACTTGTTTAACAACGATAAATGCAGGTGTTTTCTGACTTTTGCACTTCTTCAAAACTGCATTGGGGGAAATAATAAGCGTCTGCCTGTCTGTCCTTTTTTAACATTGCTGGCCATTTTCTTGAATATGCCATGCTACTTGCACATTTTGTGTAATTCAAACAGCCACTGCTTGGTTGCGTTTCTTCGACAATTTTAACACACTCTGGCTTAAATCCAAAATTCGTTTACAAACTTACCAATATAATAAATTCCTTGCCACAATAACTATTTACCATCACTTTCATATGGTGACATATATTTTTTCTTGTAAGTCATAAATCTCCAAATGACTCTTTCGAGGAAGGCAATGTACATGAAATAATTCAGCGGATGTTTGTGACTTAAAAATATGTTTAAAATTATGCTTAGAAACCATGGGAAGGGAAGGGAAGGGTGTGGGTGTGGGTTGTAATTGGTTTTGTACATGGTATGCAGGGCGGTCACTTATTTTGTACATATTTTTTTGGGGTGGGGGTGGGGGTGAGGGTGGTGGTCATTCACATTGTACATGCTTCTCCATTAAAATCATCATCAACCCCCCTAGCCATAAATTATGAACGGTCCCTTAACACAGATCGTCCACAACAGCATGAATGAAAGAATTACGTGAACTATCCATGAACACATACAATGAAGCGGGTTTCCTGGCGAATGAGGTCGCTGTCAGCACAGCTATGAATGTACCATGTACGATAAGGTACCCTTCTAAACAACAACCAACCAACCATCAGTCTGAAATGGAAGGACTTATGCTTTTCATCCTCTGGTATGATTGGGAGATGCCGAACCAAGATTCACCGAGAGGGCAGCACAACAGTCATTGTGGCTCAGACTTGGCAAAGTGAGCCTTTGTGTGAGTGCGGGGTTAAACAACTACAGAACCAAACCAAATCTATTCCATCAAAATTGTGTAAACAGTGAACGTGTATTTATAGAATTCCCACAATATCTTCATACGGAATCTGTAATTAATATATCAAATGTGCATTACCTACTGCCTTGTTTTCATAATACCGGGTGCGATAGATATTACACAAAAGCAGTCTCACACCATTTGTCAGATACTTATATATCACAAATACCACCGTTGAGTACTACCACTACACAATGCATTAATATATAATACCCCCTATCACTTGTCCATTACCTCGTGGTGATAGAAGACTTGTCATAAATCAGTGAAAAGTCTTCCCGTTTCATAGGTTTTAATAGCCACATACATAATTCAGTGATGCATTACCACATCAAGGTACAATTCAGGCATACATCATTAAGCACTTTGGAAGCGATTACTGGAGACAGCGCAATGCAGGCTCAGCTTTCATACTACGGTCTATATCAAGTCTCAGCTTCCTGCTGAATCTGTTAACACCGTCCAGATATTGCATTGGGGGTCTTCGTCCCTGTGTCAATTGAGCTTGGAGTCGGTTGATGATCCCGCGAGCATACACAAGAGGATGACATGGAAGGTATCATAACGATTCGACAAATCAGGAAAGTACCGTCCATGTAGATAACTAGCGTTGTCTTTGAGTAAGT